GTGCCCCCCAACATGTGCCATGGAGCACACCCGGCCATGCGTGCAGCCACGGCACAGCCTGGCATGCCCAGCCGCGCTCACACATTCACACTCACACATTCACACTCACACACTCATGCTCACAAATTCACGCTCACGCTCAGCTCCCGCTCACGCTCAGCTCCCACTCACACTTAGCTCACACTCAGTTCACACTCACACACACTCAGCTCACACACACACACATGCTCACACACACTCTCACATGCTCAGCTCACACTCACACTCATGTTCACGCTCACACTCACAGTCACCTCCACCCCGGAGCCGTGCCCCAGCGTCCCGTCTCCCCACAGGCAGCTCCTGGACAAGGACACCTTCTCCAAGTCGGACCCGCGTGAGTAGGGCCGGGCGTGCCCGGGGGGGTGTCTGGGGGTGTCCGGGGGGTGTCCGGGCCCCCCCCGACCCGCTGCCGCCTGTGCCCGCAGTCTGCGTGCTCTACACCCAGCGCCCCGGCAGCCGGCAGTGGCGGGAGGTGAGTGCCCGGACTGGGCGGACAGACGGACAGCGGGCATGGCGGGGGGGTGGGTAGGTGGGCGGGGTGGCCAATCAGCATGTTGGGGTGTCAGCCGGTCAGCCAATCAGCATGTCGGGGTGCCGGCCAATCCTCACGTCGGGGTGATGGCCAGCTGGCCAACGAACAGCATGTTGAGGTGACGGCCAATCGGCACGTGGGCATGCCAACCGAGTGGCCAATCAGCGTGTTGGGGTGCTGGCCGGCCAGCCAATCGGCACGTTAGATGCTGGCCAATCAGCATGTTGGGGTGCCAGCCCGCTGGCCAATCAGCATGCCAGGGTGATGGCCAGGTGGCCAATCAGCATGTCAGATGTTGGCCAGCCAGCATGTCAGGGTGTTGGGGTGCTGGCTGATCAGTATGTTGGGGCGCCAGCCAGCTGACCGACTGGCGTGTTGGGGTGCTGGCCAATCAGCATGTTGGGGTGCCAGCCAGTTGGCCAATCACCAGTGAGTGATCAGCTTGCTGGGGTGCAGCAGCCAGCCAATCCGCATGTTGGGGTGCTGGCCAGCCAGCCAATCAGCATATCAGGGTGCTGGCCAATCAGCTTTCTGGGGTGCAGCCAGCCAGCCAATCAGCACGCTGGGGAGCTGGGGAGTGTGTTGGGGTGCCGGGCAGCCGGCCAATCAGCCGTCGGCGTGCAGGCAGCTGGCCGATCGGCGCTCTGCCGGCTGCAGCGGGCGCTGGCCTGCCCCAAGGAGGGGACACTCGGGGACACTCAGGGACACCCCTCGGGGTGCCCCAGCCCCCTCCGCTCCCTCCCGCCCCCCGCCCCGCCACCCGGCGCCCTGTAATTAACTGCTGCTTAATTGAGGGGCTTCGGGCCTTAATGAGCAGGCGGGGGCCAGGCAGGACGCGATGCCAGCCCCGCGCCGGATGACAAAGGGGCACCTGGTCCCGCCGTGCCTGGCCTGCGCTTCCCCTCCCGCCTCCCACGTCACCTCGTGTCCCACATGTCCCCCAGTGTGGCCCCAGTGTCCCCATCCCTCACTCCATCCCCCCCTCCGGTCTTCTTCCTCTGTCCCCCCATCCCATCCCTGTGCCCCCGTGTCCCCATGCCCATGTCCCCACGTCCCCATGGCCCTGTATCTCCACATCCCCATACCCATATCTCCATGTCCCTATGTCCCCATACCCATGTCCCCATGTCCCTATATCTCCATGTCTTCATGTCCCCATGTCCCCATGTCCCCATACCCATGTCCCCATGTCTCCCTGGTGTCCCCATGTCCCCCAGTTTGGCCGGACCGAGGTCATCGACAACTCCCTGAACCCTGACTTTCTGCGCAAGTTCGTCCTCGACTACTTCTTCGAGGAGAAGCAGAACCTCCGCTTCGACCTGTGAGTGTCCCTGCTGTCCCCCCACACTGTCCCCCTGGTGTCACCTCCCCAGGCCACCATGGCCCCCAGCGCCCCAGCACGGCCCCCCCCCCTCCCCGCCGCAGGGCTGGGTGCGGTGGCTCAGCCTGTGCCTGGGGGTGCCAGGCGGGTGCTGGCGTCTGTCCCTGTCCCAGGCATGTCCTTGTCACTATCCAGTCCCTGTCCTTGTCCCCCTCCCTGTTCTGTCCCCATTCCTGTACCCTCACCATCCTTGTCCCCATCCCTGTCCCCATCTCCATCCCACCCCAGTCCCCATACCTAACCCATCCCTATTTGTGTCCCATCCCTGCCCCACCCCGACCCCCATTTGCGTTCAGTCCCCACCCCTGTCCCCATCCCTATCCCCAAGGCGACCTTGTCCCCACTCCTCCCGCTGCCTTGGCCACGGGACCCCTGCTCTGTCCCCAGGTACGATGTGGACTCCAAAAGCCCCGACCTCTCCAAGCACGTAAGTGTGGGGCCGGCACCGCTCCCCCCACCCCGCTGGCCCCTGGCACCATGGGGCTGGGGACGGGGACAGGGACAGACCCCGGTGACACCGCGGCTCCGGCAGGATTTCCTTGGCCAGGCCTTCTGCACCCTGGGCGAGATCGTGGGCTCGGCCGGCAGCCGCCTGGAGAAGCCCCTGACGTGAGCCCTCGCCCCGTGCCTCGGTTTCCCCCGGGGGGGCCCTGTGCTGGGCTGGCTGCCCGGTGTCCCCATGTTGTGTCCCCCCCCCCTGCTGCTGGCGGGGCGCCCGGGTCCTTATCTGGGTGTCCAGGATGGAGACCAGACCCTGGTGCCGACAGCCCTGGCTCCGGGCTGCCCCAGGCTCCCTGTGTCCCTTACCCAGCCCTTGCCTCAGTTTCCCCATGGGGGGGGGGGGCTGGCTTTTTTTTGCGGGGGGGGGGGTCCTCCATCACCCCTCGGTGTATGTCCTGGCAGGATGGGGACGGTCACTACGCACGCCCGGGGCAGGAGACCCGCTCCAGCTGTCTCCAATGGGTGAGTTTGGGGGTGCGCAGCCCTGGGACACACACACACCCCCCCCCAGGTCACCATGTGTGTCTGTGTGTCCTGGCTCATTGCCCCTCCCGGCAGTGGAATCCCCGGCAAGAAGTGTGGCACCATCATCCTCATCGCTGAAGAGCTGGGCAACTGCCGGGTGAGCCGTGGCTCCCGGGAGGTGGGGAGGGGGACAGGTTGGGGACACTCCAGTGCCATGTGGGGGGGCTGAGACACGCCCCCATGGCTGCACCCCCTGGGCCTTCCTCACTCTGGGGTGAGGAAGATGAAGGTCAGGGCTGACCTGTCCCCACGGTGTGTCCCATGGGTCCTGGGTCCCTCAGCTCCACCCCCGCACTGAGCAGCACCCACCCAGGATCCTGCACCCCCGATGTCTCCGGGGGCTGCGGGCCCAGTGACACCCCTCCCCCCCACCAGGACGTGGCCACACTGCAGTTCTGTGCCAACAAGCTGGACAAGAAGGATTTCTTCGGCAAATCCGACCCCTTCATGGTCTTCTACCGCAGCAACGAGGACGGGACGTGAGCGACACCCCCCCCAAAACACAGTGACAACCCCCCATCACAGCAGGGGGGACACAGCCCCGGCCATGAGACACCTTGGGGACTTCCGATGACCCCATGGGGCTGGGCAGGCTTGGGGTGGGGCTGTCCCCAAAAATCACCTCTGGCATGATGGGTTGGGGGGAGGTTGCCATTAGGGGGTGACCCCCTTGACTCTCCTTGTCGTCCCCCCCCAGCTTCACCATCTGCCACAAGACGGAGGTGGTGAGGAACACGCTGAACCCGGTCTGGCAGGCGTTCGCCATCCCGGTGCGCGCCCTCTGCAACGGCGACTACGACCGGTGAGCGCCGGGTCCTCCGGGGCCGCTCTGCACCCTCTTCCCACAGTCTCTGTGGTACCTATGCTAATGCCCAAGCCCTCCAGCATCCCGCACCCACGCTGCGCACCTCAGTTTACCCATCTGGGCAATGAGCTTCATCGCCATCATAGACCCATCCCTAGGGGGTGTCCCCTCCCCAAAACCAGTGTTGCCAGCTGCGTGCCCTGGCAAACAAAGCTCGGTGGTGGCTCGGCGTCGCGCCGCCGGCTTGGCCCTGTGTCGGATGTTGCTGTGGCAACGGCGGATAAAAATATCCCACCGAAAAAGCCTGAGGAGGAGGAGGAAGGAGGAAAAGGCCCATGGAGGCGTCAAAACAAACCCATGGGGAGTGGGCGCCGGGGGCGGCCCCGGGGACCCATCGCAGCCCCCGGGGTGAGGGTCTGGGTGTTTGGGGGTGCCGGCAGGTGGCTCTGACCCCCCCTTGCCTTGCAGAGCCATCAAGGTGGAGGTGTATGACTGGGACCGCGATGGAAGGTGAGCTGGGGGATGGCCCCGGGGACACTGCTCCCCCCACCCCGATCCCGCACCCCAGCTGACGGTGGCCCCCCCTCACCCCGCAGCCACGACTTCATCGGGGAGTTCACCACCAGCTACCGGGAGCTGGCACGGGGACAGAGCCAGTTCAACGTCTACGAGGTGAGGCTGGATAGTGAGGACAGGGACCCATGGGAGAGGGGCAGTCCAGCTGCACCCATGGGTGTTACAGTCCCTCTGCTGCACCCCTGGGTCTCATGGTCCCCGTGCTGCATCCCTGAGCGTTACGGTCCCCGGGGTCCCCATGCTGCACCCATGGGTGTCAAGTCCCTGTGCTGCATCCCCAGGCTTTGTGGTCCCCAGGGTCCCCATGCTGCACCCTGGGGTGTTACGGTTCCTGTCCCCAGGGTGCCTGGGCTGCACCCCTGGGTGCCACAGCCCCCTGCACTGCACCCCTGCGTGTTACGGTCCCCACGGTGCCCCCCGCACCCCGGGGTGCTGCGGCTGCTGGGGGGAGCAGCTCCCCTCTGCCCCCCCCAGGTGGTGAACCCCAGGAAGAAGATGAAGAAGAAGAAGTACCTGAACTCGGGGACGGTGAGGATGGGGGGGACACGGGCAGGGGACACAGGGGGGTGCAGCCACTGTCCCCTGCTCAGCCCCTTGTCCCTGGCAGGTGACACTTCTGTCCTTCGCGGTGGAGTCCGACCACACCTTCCTGGACTACATCAGGGGCGGGTGAGTGAGGTCAGGGCGGGACACAAGCCTCAGTTTCCCCATCTGAATCCTGGGGGACGGACTGATGCCGGTGAGGTTCCAGGCAGGGTGTCCCCAGCACCCACAGCTGCTCCCTTGGGTGCAGGGGGTTGAAACCTCAGCACAGGGAGATTTGGGGGTGCTCACCCAGGGACAGACGGTCTATGGGCCGAGGGCTCGCCTGAGGAGGGGACTGCCCCCCACCCCCCATACCCATGGGTCGCATCCTGCGTCACCCACCCCAGGTCCCTAAAGCCGCTTTCATCCCCCCTCCAGGACCCAAATCAACTTCACGGTGGCCATCGACTTCACGGCATCCAACGGTGAGCGCTGGGGCTGTCTCCCCCCTCCCCACCCCGGCATTAATTAACAAGGGAGGGCTCATTAAACCACTGATGGGGCGGGGGTGGATCTGGCCTGGCTGAGCCCACCACCCGCACAGGGAACCCCTCGCAGTCCACCTCGCTGCACTACCTGAGCCCCTACCAGCTCAACGCCTACGCCATGGCCCTCAAGGCAGTGGGCGAGATCATCCAGGACTACGACAGCGACAAGATGTTCCCCGCCCTTGGCTTCGGCGCCAAGATCCCGCCGGATGGACGCGTGTCCCACGAATTCCCACTGGTGAGGGTCTGTCCTAAAGTGGGAGTGTGTGTGTGATGAGGTTGGGGACATGGTGGCATCGTCCTTGTCACGGGGGTTCCTCGTCCTGCAGAATGGTGACGCGGCCAACCCAGCGTGCAGCGGCATCGAGGGCGTCCTGGAGGCGTATCACCGCAGCCTGCGCAGCGTCCAGCTCTACGGACCCACCAACTTTGCCCCTGTGGTCAACCATGTCGCCCGGTAAGGGGATCCCAGCACCCCTTATGGGGGGGGGAGTCTGTGCCCACCCCAGTGTCACTCACAGGGTGTCCCCCAGCTCGGCAGCAGCGGTGCTGGATGGGTCCCAGTACTTCGTGCTGCTTATCATCACCGATGGCGTCATCTCGGACATGGCGCAGACCAAGGAGGCCATCGTCAACGTGAGTCCGGGAGGTGGTGGGTGCCCCCAGATGGGGTGCAAAGACAAAACAGGGTTGGGGTGCTCCAAGCCATCCGGGGTGCAATAGCCAGCTGGGTGCATGGGGTGCTGTGAGCTGTGTGGGTGCAATAACAGGCTGGGGACCCCCAAGATGTCAGAGTGCTCTGACCAGCTGGGGCTTGGGGTGCCCCTGACAGGGTGCAGCGAGCTGTGTGGTTGCAACAGCCAGCTGGGTGCACAGGGTACCCCAAGCTATCGGGGTGCAATAATCTGCCAGGGACACAGGGTGCCCCAAACTGGGGTGCAACACCCAGCCAGATGCACGGGATGCCCTGACTTGTTGGGGTGCCAGTGCAAGCTGGGGGTGCCAGGTGCCATCGGCGGCCAAGGACACAGCGTCCCTGCCAGGGGGTTGACGGGCAGCTCCTGCCTCCTCCGTGTGAGGGGCCTGGAAAGGAAAAAGCAATTTCGGCGCCAAGGCGGCTCTTTGAAGGTGCCAGCGGCACCTTTGACCTCACAAGCACCATGCCCAAGTCTGCCCACCCAGTTCCCCCCGGCACCTCGCTCAGCCCAGCATCCAGGCAGACTGGGAGCTTTCTTCTTCCCCCTCCTCCTCATCCCCTAACCTCCCTTGCGGTGGCTCAGCCCCATCTTGGCTCCCTGATACCCAGGGCAGCGGGAGAGTTGGGGCTACTGGAGCAGAGTGGGGGTGCTGGGGAGGCCCACATAGCTGGGGGGCCGAGGGGCCGGTGGTTCCCCCCCCCCGACACTGGGCATCCCCGGGGGTCAGCTCCTGTCCAGGGCAGGAGGGAGAACAGCTCCAGTAATATTTCTTTGCTGCTTTATTTAATGTCCCTGCACTGCGGCTCTGCCGGGAGCTCGGGGCGCTCAGTTCTGGCAGCTGCTGCACCTCGCACCGGCCCTGGTGCCTGCCTGGACCCTGGCACCGCCACCACCAGACTCAGGGACGTGACACCCTGCGGCTGTGCCGGGCTGCGGGCAGGGCTCCGGGTGCCCTTTGGGGTCAGTTTCGGAAGCTGGTGCTGCTCCGGGAGCACCATGCTGAGCCGAGGGGCTCCCTCAGCCGGCAGTGGTGCTGAGTTGGAGGGGGGCTTGTGGTGCCACCGGGCATGGGATGGTCATCACGACCCTGGGTGCAGGATGCCCATCATGGCCCCAAGGACAGGTGTCCATCATGGTCTTGAGGATGATCATCATGGCCCCGGGTGCAGGATGCCCATCGTGGCCCCAAACGCAGGATGCCCGTTGTGACCCCGAAGACAGGGTGCCCATCGTGACCCTGAGGACAGGGTGCCCATCATGGCACTCAGCACGGGATGCCCACCATGACCCCGAGGGAAGGATGCCCGTCATGGTCCCAGGCACAGGATGCCCCTCACGACCCCGAGGACGGGATGCCCAACACAACCCCGGGCACAGGGTACCCGTCAGAGCCCCGAGTGCAGGAAGCCCATCATGGTCCTGGGCACTGGGTGCCCATCGTGGCCCAAAGCCCCCCCAGCCCCCCCAGCTCCACCACCGTAC